ATGTTTCTGCCTTCCCAGCCAACAAAAACTGTCACTACTCGTGTTGAGGCCTTAGGTCAATGTTTGAACAAGGCTGTTGATCGCTGTTTGCAAATATTGGGAAAAGAAATGGATGAAATCATTATCCCATTAGCATTAGATAAAATCCCAACAGCCACCCATGAGAGTGATACTTTTGCACTAGCGGTTGTCAACAGGCAAGCTAGAATTTCTACTCAATGTCCAGCACACCAGTTGTTTAGAACGACGATATGTCTAGAACCAATCAACCTAAACAGTGAACAACCTTTGCAGGCCTTGACTGTTTTTACAGACGCTAGCAGCAGAACTCGAAGAGCTGGCCTGGCCTGGCAAATTGATGGGCAGTGGCACGCTGAAGTTGTGCTAGCAGAAGGATCGGTGCAGGTTTTAGAACTTGTTGCAGTTTCGCGAGCATTTCAACGATGGGATACACAACCCTTGAACATCATAGCAGATTCATTATACGTAGTGGGTGTTGTGAAGAGATTACATCGCTCGCTGTTGCGACATGCTCGAAATGAAATGTTGTTTGAGACACTTCGCACCTTGTGGCACGTACTGAACTTTCGCCAAGTGCCGTATTATATCTGCCGCCTAAAAAGTCACACGACTCTGCCTGGTTTGCTTGTCGAAGGCAACCGACGAGCCGACACGCTCGTGTCAGCAGTAGCAGACAAACTGAGTTCTATCCCTGGGGATTTAGCACAAGCGTGCATGTCTCGTGATTTTTTCCATCCATCAGCGAGAGCGGTGAAGAATCAATTTAGCATTTCACCGACTGATGCCCAAGCCATCCTTGCTGCGTGCCCGGACTGCGCACACTTGCCTTCTTTACAAGCAATTGGTGTTAACCCCCGGGGGTTGAGGGCCCTTCAGTTATGGCAAACGGATGTAACTGAGTGCTCCTCGTTAGGCCGTTTGCGATTTATCCATGTTTCCATAGACACTTATTCAGGTCTCATATGGGCCACGTTACATATATCTACGCTAGCTAGAGATGTGCGTAAACACTGGCTGACTTGCTTTGCAGTTATGGGAGTCCCCCAAGAAATCAAAACTGATAATAGTCCTGCTTACACTGCTGCTTCTACAGCTCGCTTTTTACAAGCACGGGGAGTTACCCATACATTTGGAGTGCCGCATAACTCCACTGGTCAAGCTATTGTAGAAAGAGCTCACCGCACCCTTGAACATCAGATGCGTTTAATGAAAAGCGGGGAGATGTAGGATCATTTTATGTTAGCAATGAGCTGGACTGTATTTTGAGAATGTGCTAAGATGTGGGAAAGTGCAGAGAGTTATGCAGGGAGGCAAGCCTGTGGGGCAGGAGATAGAGAAGCTTGAAAACAAGGCCATGGGAGCAGAATGAGACAGGGAGCTTGTATGTTAGACAAAGAACTTGTGTTTTAATTTACGTGGAAGCTATGCACGGCATAGACACCGATCAGAATCCTTGCTAGGAGCGCGATAGTCGCGCGGACAGTACGTGTAACCAATTAGAGCTTGAGCGAGCGCCTGTACGGAAGCAGAAAGCAGTATATAAGATGTAGTCTGTTGCTTAGTAAACGACTGCTCTGGTCATCATATTGGTGGGCTGAGTTGTCTGTGCCTCGCATGAACAAAGACCCCACACTCCCTCCCCCCCCAAATTAACGCAGTTTTAACTGAGATTATCTTTCCCCCCCGCCTCCTGTAACTGTTGTGTTAGCGACAACTGCTGCTTGCAATGCTGCCTTCCAAAGGAGTGCTGAAATGTGACAGCCTGGCCAGTTAGTTATTCAAAATGTGTAGGAATCAAAGTTTTGGTACCTATAAAAATCAGGTCAGTGTAAAATACAAGAGATGAAGAACAGCCACCATTCCAGTCTCCCTCACTACAGACTCCTCTTCTGCTCATGTACTTCGTGCCTCAGAGCTGCTGCCGCTGGCAGAGTGAGTATGCAATCAGTCCCTGATACGCACATGAGGGATACAGGACTGGCAGGCTCCTCACCTTCTCCAGAGCTTTTGCAATGAGATTCCTCTTATCTCCCCCAAAGACACAAGCATTCAGAGCTGGGGTAAATCCATGTCATGTTTTTGGGTCCATACAAACTGGAAGGATCTGATAAAAGGGCTATTTACAAAGCCAAAAATTTAACTTTGTTTTGAAAGTTTATTGGATCATCTTGACACAAAATCATTACAGCAGCTTGTGGTATGTTGTTTTCTTTTTCTTTTTTAAGGGAATGTTGATAGCAAATAAATTTGTGAATGTAACACATCATACAGTTTCAAAATTCTAGAATCACTGCACAGGATTCTGTAAGAGAAGACTCTACATGCTAAAGTGACAGTTTTCATCCATGAATTAAAAAAAACTCTAATTGAGGAACATTATCCTTTAAGACAATTTTAATATGTTCAGTTTCTAATACACAAACTGGCTAACCAAGGGAGGTTGACCAATACCAAAAACTACCACTTCACCAGCAGTGAAGCCTGCTGCAAACAAATTCCTGCAGCGCACAAGTGCGGTCAGAATACGAAGCTGGTCCTAGCAATAAAACCAGAGCAGAGCCTTTGCAAAAATACCCGAATATGGGAAGAATGTAAAGAGCACAAAACACGCTTAAAGTACAGGACATTCACCCGAAGGATAAGATCAACACTTTATCCTGCTCCCTGCGTAGGGTTTTAGTTCAGTTTTAGCTCTCCTGGGCACTGCTGACACCTCTTGGAGTGCTGGCGGTGCTGGAGAAGTGCAGACCAACCCAGCTCCTCCTCGGGGACCCTTTTGGTTAAGAGCTCTTGACCCACGCCTCAAGCAAAACCATTCAAGTGTGTTCTCAGTCTGCTGGGTATGAAACAGCAAGTGAAAGAACTGGGAGGAAAAAAAAAATAAATTCGAAAGAGGTTTTGGAGAAGGACACTAGTTAAGCGTCTCTGTAAAGGACAGAGTGATATCCCTTTCCAGTCGGTGATTCCACAAGATTTCAATAGAGCAGAACGGGCTCCACTTCACAGACCCTTCCTTTCTTCCCTCTAAAGTAACCGGCTACAAACCCACGTCTGCAGCTCCTACCAACCCCTCCTCCTGCCACCCAGGCAGGGAGAGTTCTGCTGCAGGGACCCAGCGACACTTGCGCTGCTAAATCTGCATCTGCTCCTGCGAGGACAGGGCCGTGGGACACTACGGGGACAACTGAGACAGCACAACATCTCTGATTTCACAGCACAGAGGGAGGGAACAGGGCTGTATCTGCAAACTGTTCAGAGTACGAGGGATTACACACATGGGCGTTTCTCTAACCTGGTAGTGGTCAACCTCAGCTGGTAAGCAAAATGATTAAAAAAAAAAAAAGGAGGAACAGACTCCTTCGGATTTCCAGTTTCTTGCTACACCCTAACTTTTCAGGAATGTGAAATTGAAGTGGACTCATAAAACACATCAGCAGAGACTGCTCAAAGGGGAGACGCATGACAGACTCCATTTGCGGGGGGGGGGATGTCAAAAGGAGCAGAGAACCAAACAGTAACACTTTCAGCCTGTTTCATGCATTCACTCTCTACTCTTTCAGCTGTCACTAAAAGAAGGTTAAGGCTCAAGGCAACCGCTATAAACAAACTCAAACATCCCAGTTCTCACAGGGCTCATTTGGATTAGCTCAAGGAGATGGAGGATGTTTATATGCTGATCACCATAGATCTTGAGATAATAATAATAATAATAAATCATATTAAAAAAAAAAACCAAAAGAGGCCTTCAGGTCCAGCACCAGCCTCTGCTAGAAATATACATCAACTACAGCAGCCCTAAAGACATTTTCCATGGCTAAGGATCAAGTCAACCTTCCCTGGCAATACGCACAAGCAACAGACTCTGTGCTACTGTTGATAAAATTCTGCTTAGTCCACTGTCCCACGCAGATGACAAGGTTTATGGGATCACCATGAGCTGCTGAATAAATAGCGCCCGCCCCTCCCTCCCTCCCTCCTCCAGTCATGTCACCAGGATCTCTTTGGGCTAGAAAGGGTTAACACCACAGTTTGTAAAAAGTTTTGAAATAAAAAGGTAACATACAGCCTTAAAATGTCTAAACTGCAAACAATGGTGGAGTTAACTGAAAAGCACGTGCCCCAGGATAGTACATGCGTACGAGGGAGAAACTTAACACTTGGGTCTGCTCGTCTTTACACATTAGGTGTGTTTCTTGTAGCTGGAGTATTTTATAAGGAATATTCAGCACTTGGACAATGTCTCTTTCATCTCATCCAACAAGTTGCTAAGCAGGGTGGAATCATTACATTTCCCATCTATGGATACGGAGTTCTCTCCCTTGGAAAGAAAAAAGAAAAAAGAAATCCATTAGCTCCTCTTCTAAGCAGGGACAATTTTATTGCCAGGCTAGCTCAGGGACTGGAAACAGCCGGTGGAGCCTGGACAGAATGAAGCAGGCTTAGCTGAGAGGTCAGTTTGGGGAAGCCATCGGTGCTGCTACTACCCACCCAGTATGCGCTGGGCAACGGGGAGGTACAACCTTGGTAGTAGCACAGCGAAAACTGCTATCTGGGCCAGATAAATTAAATTGCCCATGGTGTCCCTGGATGATTTAGACAGGAGTACTTCCCTCTTTCTGTTAAGACAGGAAAAGTTGCAGATTTAGCTTCTCTCGGGTCTTGTTTCAGAGTGTTACAATACTCTCACCTTTTTTACCAGTAGGCAGACGTGATGGCCTTGGATAGAACGACTGTACATTGATGCACACGAATCAACGCGTTCCACAACTAGAAAGCAAGCAGGAGTTTTCATTTAGTGGGACAAATATTAATATAAGGTTTGCTTCCTGTGAAGAGAAACTACTGCTTTGCCTGGCCTCAAGGAATAGAAGCATCTGCTGAGTGAGGGGAGGAGGAAGCCAGGGTTAAGGTGATGTATGTGCCTGGCTCCTCCTGGCTCCTATCTGGGATATTTCACAATAATGAGGTTAGTCATTTGTCTTTTAAGCAAGCTACAAATGTTTTGTGGCAAAAATGCTGATCAGAATTTAGATCTCTTCCCCAGAAATACTTTCAGTTAGGCAACGTTTAATGCATACACTGAAGCATGATGAAACAGCCATTTGTTTTGCTTCATCCAGTACTTGTGTTTTAATTAGTAAGTCCAAACTTGAATAGCTGACGCTCTCCCTTACTGAAACGAAGCACTGGGAGAGAGTAGGCTGAAGGACTGAAGATCAAAAACATCCTCCAGAGAACAGTTACAGCCCGAACTATAAGCAAGCTGCTCCGGTGACACCTCCCACATGCCTTGCTGGACTGGAGGAAAGCCACAAGGACAGAAGGAGAGTTCATTTTGAAGAACACTGCATGCTTTTGAGGATACCAATGTATTACAAAACTGGAAAAAACTCCTCTCCCAGATTTATTTAATCTGGACATTGCCTGCTTCTGTCATTGTTGAGGCCATGGAGCATTGCACTTGCCCAAAGCTCAGCAGAAATTTTTGAACACGGAATTTTGCAGAAGGTTCTGCACTGAGGAAGACTCACCTGAAAAATGGTGATGAAAACAGATCTTTGCCAGTAGATGTTGGAAAGAAATGCTAATTCCATCTACTTTAATAGAACTCATGTGCAGATCTCCAGACTCTAGGAGCTTGGCAAAAGCATCACTGCAAAACAGGAAGGAAAGTGAACACTTGTGCCAGAAATTCAAGTGAAATCTGCCACATTAGCCCCATGCACACCTTGACACATCTCAGGAAGCAGAAGTCTAAGTACTACCGAGCTCTAGGGAAAAGGGTTTACAGCAAATATGGGAACCATACTCCACTGGAGTACCCTATGACCTCAACCAGAGCTACTTCCACATGATCTCTGCCAGCTTACAGGACACACAGCTCCTTCTTCACAATCACTTGAAATAAGTTGCTGGACATATTTTAACAAACATTACACAAGATAACTGAACTGTAACCAAAGCAATCACAAGCAGCCAAAGTCAAAAGCATGCTGCGTATCTTGCAGAGATGGCCTGCAGCCAAAGCTCAGCTTCACATGGGCGGCAAAAGCACCAATGTTGTGCTCCCTACATGGCACTTACCTATAGCAAGGCGTCGTGATCAAGTATGAAGCGCAACTGAAGTGCAATTTGAAATCTAGTTTTTCATGGGTTGAACCTTCATCATTCTGCAACAGGTCAAAGGAAAGGAGATGAACGGGAGCCCCAAGGCAGCAAGAGGAGGCACCACCCCCACCTACCAAACAGGCACCAACGAAGACTTTAGGGCTCAATTCCCTTTGATATACCCTGGCTGGGCCTGAAGGATCAGTCTGAGAACAACCATCACGCTACAACATCAGGCCGCTTAGAGAAAAGATTTGGGCAGCTAGCTTGATACATACACCTAGAACAGATAAGGGAGACAGCTGGAGGGATCGGGCTGCATTTTTTGATTGCACTCTGCTGAAATATGTTGAGCAGACTGAATTTAAACCAACACTTGGAGATGTGCCTTTACAGTTCACTATTTCCCAAGCAAAATAATAAATTAGTATCTCCCAGATTCTTAGGACTTGTATATTTTTAAGAAACCCTTAAAACAGAGATAATGGCTGACTCAGAAGTAGCCAAAACTGTCTCCATTCACTTCCTTCGAGATTTTGATGCAGCTCCTTCATTAATAATTTTACTGAAATTAGATCAGAAACATAGTCTTATACAGGTCGATACTTATTAAACAATGCCTTCAGCTAACCTCACTCTTGTTCTGGGTTTCCATCCTTATTAACTGTATCTAATTCTTATTACTATTTTTCCATCCTTGTACCAGGTAGCAGTGTCCAACTGATCTTTGGAAAACTGAGGGCAGAAGAAAGAGACTCTGGGTTGCATCTCTCGCTAGTTGTTGAACTCCTCTCCCCAGCAGATGCACCACTGCAGTGATGTTCTAGCTGACAATGTGGCATATGTTTCAGGCTGCATTGCTCACACACTGCCAGGAATGACGATTTAGGACATGCTTACACAGTATTCGGGGCACTCTTTGCACAAGATGTCATGTAAAAAAATACTTCTCACATCACAGAATGGGCTGGTGCAGCAGAGATGAAATGATGCCTAAAAAAAAGCTCTAAAGCAGTGCTTTCCACCCAAGTCAAGCTCCCTTATGCAGTTCCAATGGAAGCAGAAGCACAGAGTTTAAAGCCTCACTTACTTTGACTATAAAGGACAATGTTCCTTTTAACTTCTGAGCCATAACAATACTCTGAAGTGTAAACACAAACTGGGCTTCATTAGAGATTCCTAGCATGAAGAGAGGAGAGGGAGAAGTCAGGTCAGAACATGGCTTCCATATCTAAGTAATGGTTAGAACAAAGTGATCAGTAGCAGCTAAGCTTTACGTACTGACTATTTCTGAACCATGTTTGAAATTTTCCATGTAGTTGGAACAGAGTTATATGCACAATTCCTGTTGTGAATTAACAGTGTTACAAAGCTTAGCTCTTGGGTCTCTGAAAAGCAGCAGTAATAGGTGGCATTTGGTAGAGGTTATTGAGTGTGCCTGGGCAAAGCATGTCATAGCGGCAATATATTTAAACTGTTTGTGTAACTGGAAAAATGTACAGCTTTCCCAGTAGTTTTCAGAACTAATTCGAATTCTAATGTTTCTATGTCTTCCTTTTAATATACAAGTCTGTGTCAAGAATTGCCTTATATAGAATAATAATAAAAAAAAAACCCTACTGCTTTTCATGGGGGATCAAAATGCACCCTGATTGAAGCCACGAAAGCCCAGAAGACTTCTGTGAGCTGTTTCAGTATTCAAATTAACTCTTTGGCAAAGGAAGTGAAATTCAAAGAAGTTCCGTGATTTGACTCTACTATTGTACTATGTATGAAGCCATTATCCTTCATCTCTCTAATATTTCTTAAGCGCTCAGCTCCCCATCCAAATAAGCACATACTTCTCACAAACTTTCACTGCATATGGCCTCTGTCATCAAAACAGTGGAACAACTGCTCAAGAATAAATCCAGAGCAGATTCTAATGGTTCACAAACCTATAACCTTGTTTCATTTTAAATCTCATAGCAAACTCCTCATGAGTTTCGGATTCTTGGAGTTGGTGATGCTGGCACGTTCAAAGGTGTGCCAGCCTGCAGTCACCTGAACAGGGAACTCAGACATTCATTCGGACTCCCAGCCCTACATTATAGGCTTTGCTCTTGCTGTACAGAACCACCTGCATTTATAGCCATACTGTAAGAAGGCTTATCCTCTCCCATGAATTGTGTGAAAGCCCAGCGAACACCCAGGCAGAGGGACATGTCTTTCTGGAAAACAGCAAGTAGCAAGAAGTTCAAACAATTCCTTCCACAGGATGGCAGTGCAGGACTAGACATTCTCCAAGAACCCTGTGCAAAGCTGTGCATACCAGGGGGTAGCTGGAAGGGCACAGGTATCCCATCATGTACTGATGATCCTTCTGGTCGGAGCATTTTAGTGTTGAGAGAGTCCAGGACATTTAGTTCCATGCTCTTAAGGAAGCTAGTGCTTTTGTTCTCAAAGATAACAGAGACAGTAACTTGACTATCATTCTGGAGGTTTCCTTGAATATCGTAGGTCTGTAAATGAAGGAAAAACACAAAAATCACAGGAAAGATTCAGAAACTTCAAACAGCAGAGCACCACAACAGAATACAGCATCAGAATAAAGCAAGCTTCAAAAAGAAGGTAATTTGGTACAGCCATAAGATAATGAAAGCACACTGGTGACCAGCTCCACAGTACTGCTAAGTAGCAGGAAAATATCAAATTAAAAACCTGTTAAGTGGGACATCCAAAGGAACGGAAATGGAGCTTTGTTGTGTTTCTACCTCCTGGGATTTAAATAGTTCTTCAGTTAAACGTTGTCCACATGAAGTCGCTATACTATGCCTAGGGTACATCCTCTTTTCTTAGAGAACACAAAAAGAGAAGACATCTGGATTTGAATGCCAAAAAACTCACCATTTTAATGTACGGATTTTCAGCAAGAAGGTGGTAACTGGACATAGGCTGAAAAACAAGAAAGAAATCAGTTGCAACATAACTAATTTCTCTGAAAAGAGCTGTTATTCTCCTTCCTCCCAAAACAGTTTAGCTCCTGCCTTTTCCCCAATGCAAGGGCTGCCACTCACTGGTAGTGGTTCATCATCTAGTGTTCCATTCTGCACTGACTCTGTTGTCTCCTCCTCACTGTGATGACTCTTCTTTTTGGATTTCTTTTTGTCTTTTGATTTCTCTTCTTTCTCTTTCTTGTGCTTTTTCTTCTTATGCTTGGAGGATTTCTACCAAAAAGAACAAGAAACTACAACAAACCCTTAAAGAAACCTATATTTCTAGCCATTGTACGATGACTCCTCTACAAATCCTTTCAACTCTAGACTCTCACTCTGTGCAGCCATCTGGACTGAACAAAGTTTCCTACTACTGGAGGAACCCAAAACAGAGCTCTCATTCCTTAAACCCCAATCATCATTCTGTGTTGAGTCCCAGTAAACCCTTGCTCTCCACTCAGATGACAAGACCGTAACCCAAAGCAGCCTGGGATCAGCAGAAGGCCAAATCTCTTCAACTGTTTGGAAGTTCAACTTTAAAAGTGTGACCTGACCCTTGGCTCAAGGAACAGCCAAACCTCTTACTATGAAGTGTTTAGAGCTCCTCAAGGACGTAACATTCCACTGCTGCCTATTTGTAGGTGGTCACTACACTGAACAGTATGCTGTTGGTAATTCCCGTGTGCTTCTTTTTAAGGAATATGGGACACTAGGAGAGTACGGCTAAGGGTGTCCACAACTTAAACCACTTACCTTTCCTTCCTCCTCCTCCTCCTCATCTCGCTCTTCCCTTTCTTCCTTTTTTACCTCTTGAGGTTCAGCCACAACAGCAGCACCCACTTCAGGCTCGCTCTGAGTAGATTAGCAGAAGGATTAGATGATACTAATGGAATGCAGTTGAAACAAGTGAATCCCACACCAAAAGAAATTTTAACAGTGACACTCCCCCCACACCAACTGTTATTTCAAAAATTACATTAGACTAACATAGTATCAAGCCTTTCATTTTATGCCTCTGAAACCCAGCAAATATGATCACCTGAGGACAAGATTCAAAAGGGTTCCTCCATCTCCTTATATCTCCTGTCTCTTCCTCTAAAATCTCCCATCAAAATTCATGAGACTTTTTCTTTCAGACTGTGTGTCTCATGTCTATTAACATTGCTAGCGTCTAGCTCACACTAGGAAATAAAACTATACAATAACATAATATTAAAAACCACCAATGAAATTAAAATCCACCAAGCCTGTAGCTGCATCTGTATTTCTATCCATTGATCTGCACAGCAGAATGAGCTTGAAACCTCCCATTACAGGGTCTGTAAACTGGGGAGATAAAATGTCATTGCTTCATAGCAATAAGTTGAGGAGATGAAGCC